TACTATGGGGCTTTTTGCTATACATTAAACTACGGCTGGTTTTGTAGAGAGCTCAGCTTAAGTACTTGTCTTCCTTTAACCTTGCATGCACACACCCACAGTTTCAAGGAGTGAAAAAACAATAGTTAAACATTTGGTTTGATTTTACATAAAGGTATGTAGGTTTGGGGAGATACTTAAGGCAATGCCATTATTTTGACAAAAGATACTTTCTGCATTTAAACATTTCACTGGTAGCAAAATTAGAGAAAAGTTATTTGCATATATTAATAAATAAATCACTTGATTATTAGATGGGAGGGAAGTATGCAAGAAAATTAGTATTTTCCATCACACTAGAAAACTAACACTTCAAGGAGACAAAAAAGTAAAAAACTGTTAAATACTATACAGACTTCCTATAATATTTGGAGTCATGAGTGAACCACTTGTTTATTTTTAATGACTCTTTCCTCTTTAGAGAAGCTGTACATTTATCATTTTTTGGAGCAGATACTTTCCATAGGAATAGAGATAATTTAACCATTGTATATTAATTGTATGTGTATGAATTGCTTCATGACATAATTACAAAATAGCTGGTTTTATTGTTGATCATCTAGTATCTGAAGCAACTAGCTACAAGTAGTGATATACAGCAAAACCAGAACAAATTAACTGGTAAGGGAACAGCTGTAGAGACTTAAAAAAAAAAGACATTTGATTCATACAAAGTTGGTTGATAAAACACAGTAATAAATAATACAGCATAAATAAATACACCAATTCCAAGGGAGATTCCACATATATCTCAAAAACTGAATCACAATGGTTTTTGAAAAGGAGATACAAACCTGTACAACACTCACAGGATTTTTATAAGTATATACTATTTTAATTCAAGTTTCATTCAAACCTTTCTTAAAAATGGCAACATTCTCAATTAACAACTCAGATTCTTTTATATTGATTTGTACATCTGTTACTTCTAAATTATAAGTTCGTAACTGAGAAAACAGTCATAGAAATTCCTGAAAAATTCTGATTTCCACTGACTACTGCCATGCATTTAATAGCAAATTTTTCATGTGGATTTGTATCAATGTTTTCACATAATCTTAAAGTAAAATTAAGCATTAGGTCTTTATAACTCAAGTATTAACACTTCTACTGAAGTATGGTGCTCAGTAAACATTCAGGTTTAGAATGTTATAGATCAATAGGGACCCATAGACAATATTGTATGCAAATTTCAGTATATCTTAATATTTTTAATGGTGTGGGTTAGATGTACTTAAATATAAATAAACTTTACATTTAAATACCTAATTTTCAAGTACTTAATCTAACATGATGAAAATGATCCAAGACGAATTTTCGTGTAATGCAGTCAGATGAGCTAGTCAACAACTTCTTACCTTCATGCTTATATGTCATTTCTTGGCAGCCAGAAAAATACAAGCACACCAAAGCACAGAGGCAGATAAAAAAAGAGAAATATAAAACAAGAAATATGAACTCCATCACCCTAGTGTGCAGGCTTTCCACTCTCACGAATGTAGTTAATTCATTAAAGTTTAAATACACAAATAAATTTGTTGAGTCCTGCAGTTTCCAAACAAACCAGGCAATTATGCCTTATTTTTAAACGCATGACTCCATCAGTCATGGAATCACTGCAACTCCATTCTACATGTCAAACATAAACAATCCCCAAAAATACTGTTTCCGGAGTTTCTGGGTTATTTCAGTACCAAAACTGGGGAAAAAAAAAAAAAAAGGAAAAAAACCCGTGCCTTAAACAGCAAAAGAAGATTCACCTCTGGTACATCTTTTTCCTAACAAGTCCAATGGCACGTTAACATAAAAAAAATATAAATAAACCTCTAACAACTTAGGCTGTTTCACTTCATAGAAAACTATCCTATGGTCCCTGACTAAACAGAGTGATTATATTACTCCTCTAAACACCTTGCAGCCACAGAGGCTATAAAACCCCATCCCACTATTCTGCTCCTTTCCTCTGGGAATCCGAGCTGGTTGCCAGCACTGTTCTATGGACTCCTATGCCCCTTGCTAATTAAAAAAGTGCTTAGTCAAAGCTACACTAGCAACAGTAACCTAGTGCACCTACAGAGCTTCAGAAATAACATAGACTTCTAACTGGGAGGAAAAAAAAAAACAAAACCCCAACTAAAAAAAACCCCAAATCCTTGGTATTTTCACAAGCTTGGCAGCTGAATTGATGTCATTTAGTCCCAAATGTGCTATAAAGGGTATTCACAGAAGCTGTCTTAAAGATGGAGAAAGGCATGCTATGGATTCTCTTCCAGCTAACGGAATCACTGTCAGGAAAATACTCATATTAAAAAATAAACAGACACAGTCCAATCAGAGTACCTCAAAAAAAAAATTCATCTGGAGTGTAAAAGTACCCATTTAGGGGAAGCTGCAACAGTAGATGTGCACGAAGTTTGTTTATTGGGACAAAACCTTTCTGTATCTTGAAGTCTGAGCTTATCCAACCACATTCATGAAACCTAATGGTCATCAGTTATTTCCTTTTTGACTTTTTTAAGGGAAGCAGGACACAGCTAGAAATAGATCTAACTCCAACAGTCAAGCTTGATAATTCACTGTGTAATGCTAATTTTACATTTAACAAGTCTTAGAAAATCAAAGCCAAAAGATTTAAGTCAGTCATTTCTCCTTCTGAGTGGTCAGTTACTACAGATACATCCATAATTACTTCTATTATTATAAATAGGTTATCATCTGTATGATATAAAAATCTTGCACAGATCACAGACATAAATATACCTGCACTGTATATGTCTATATATAAAGCAACTCATCTTAGACTGCCTTTATAGTCCATGGGGAGAAATAGGCAATTTTAGGACAAAACTCATATGGCCTATTTAGCTATCTACATCAGAGGAGACCTGTCACCACAATGTTACCACTTTGCTCAGAATAAGATGTTCATATCCCACCCCCATTAATGACAACTACCCAAGCATTTCCAGTGGTCTCAAAGGTAGATGAATTCGACCTTTCCCATCTGGATTCCTGAGCAGGCTGTAAAAACAGAGAATATGAAGATGGTACAAACCCAACAGATCATCTGGTAAGCAGCCCATTCCACATAGGTTGTTTAAACAAACAAAACAAAACAAAACCCTGCTGGAAAAACGTGGAAAACACAGCTACCTTGAGGATTTTGGTCCTCACAGGACCACACATGTGACCTGGGAAAAAATCAGCCTGAATGCCAGGACTGGATTTTTAGAAGCTAACATCAACAGCTTTTAAACTCCAAGGTAACATTGCATACACAGGTGAAGAGCGTACAGGTTTATATGATGGCAGGTAATAAAGACACTGCTAAATATATTATTGATGACTTCTTTCCTTCCTTAAGGAATTAGCTCATTTAGAAACTCTATATATTTGTGTAATAATTAGCATAGTATATATATAGTGTAACTAATATAGTATATGATCCCATTCATTCTCCTCTCACACCTTTCTCTTTTTCACTTGTTTTGTTTTATATTCTTTGAGGATATAGAATCAAATAAAATTTCAACCCTCATGTTGTTTAACACTTGGTTTGGTCAATAAGGAAAAAGAAAAGGATACCACAAAACCAGCAGCTTGCTCAAGATAAAATAGGTGAAAGGAAAGGGTCCAGAGTCTAGGTCAGCTGATGTTCTATTAACACAGAACATTTGTAACCCATAAATGAATAATTATGGAAGTTTTCAGCATATAAAGATTAGCATAATTAGTTATCAACTCCTAAAAATTTCAACGTGGGTTTTTTTCATTATGAACTTTACAATTTAGCGAAAGATCTTAAACAATTAATTTAAAATCAGATAAGGGCTAATAATTAGAGAAGAATTGCAGTATTAGTTACATATATATATATTTAATTGTATGTCCTGCTTTTAAAATTTGCTCTCAAAACACAAACTTCCAGGTATACTACACTAAGAAAGAATGGTTCAGGGTTGCTGTGAATATATTAGGCATCTACCAGCCTTCCCTTAGAAAACAGAATAAAGAATGCAAGATTTATTATTTCTTCTGAATTTTTCTTTCTTCATATGTAAAGGATAAATCATTATTCAAAGCATAATTTGAAGAAAGTATTGCTGAAACAGAGAATCTCAAATGATAAGTCTTTCAGAATACGAGTATTACAGAATGCAGAGCAATAAAAAAGCACCACCTGGAGGTCATCAGGAATATGGTATGCAGAACATGCTGACAGCAGGCACCCATTTATGACAGAATGTATCTTAAGCAACCGTATAGATGACAATCATCTCATCACTCTTCACTTCCATTCTTTTCCTCCTACACGATTCTCCTCCCCTACACACTGTAAGGCTGCTAATGTTAACTACATAAAAAACATTATTCAGCAAAATTGATGCACATGTTAAAATAAACACTAAGGATATATTCTGAGGCAAAGCTTTTCTGTTTCTACAAATTAAATTTTTCTCTTGTACTTTGCATTCTAGAGCAAGATACTACAGATAAACAGTTAGAATCTTCTTACTATTTATATCACATACAGAAATATAATTTCAGTAACATCCCTCGCATGAGTTAAAGTTTTCAATTGCAACTGAGCAGTAACTAAGCGAATAGTTTAAAGAGTGCATTTTCTTTTAAAAAGGCTGAGCATTTGTCCTTTGAAATGGTATTGTTTTAAGTCATTATATCATTTAGACCTCAAGCCTCTTGAAGATTTAGGCCACAAATAAAAAATATCATTATATTTCTAGCCATTATAACAAAAACAAAACACCACTTGTCTGCAGTACAAAACTTGCAGCTCCTGAATTCCTAAGAAAAAGTTAATAAGCACTCAGTAGAAAAAAAATAGAAGAATGATACGAAATGTTACCATTAGTTTAAATAGAGGTCTAATTTCAGGCAATATTTGAAACAAGCACTGCTCCCAACAACCAAAATGCATGGAAAACCAGAAGTTTGCTCACCTTTGGAGGCTTCAGACTTTTCCTCTTCTGTTTTTTAGAACGTAATAACCGTTCCCTTTCCTAAAAGGGAAGAGAACGTTTTGGTATGGGTTTCTTTCAAAAGATATATATATTTATATAGGTCTAACACAAAGAAATATGATTCAAATTTTCTTAAATCCTATGTTTATTATGAGATAACTCAAAGACAATGTCTTTATCCATTTGATAAAGGGATCCCATTGTCTTTATACCAATGCCACATTGGTATTACATCACGCTTTACTGCAGCTTTAGCAAGCAAACCTTCTGCCATATACTTCACAGATTTGATGAGAAGCTGGCAAGAAAAGGCTTTGTTAAATTCTGGGCACAGATTTCTGACAGTTCTTTTGACTCTTTTACCAAGAAGCTCACTATGGAGACAGAATTCACATTCTTAATGTTCAACCATCCTCAAGAAGCAGGCAGGTAGACAAAAATGAGTCCAGCCTTAGCAACTACCAGTCATTATGTCAGGCACACTCTGATATACAGCCATGCATATGCAGATACAGTGTTACATGTGACTTATCCTTGTATGGAAAAAGTCTCAAATTCAAAGACACTCTCACTTAGTCTTTGTCAACAACTTCATGTTATTTTTCTATCGTGACCTTGGAACAAGATCATAATTAACTATATCATAATATGAGGAGGTTATAACTGAAAAAAATGTAGGGTTTATGAACATTCAAGCCCAAGAATACTGCCTTGAATTCCAAAGGAGAAAGAGGTAAAAAATGATAAAAAATGCAAGGGAGAGGACAAGCAAAAAAACCACCCCACAGTGAGTAGGTGATCTGTCGCCTTGCATTTTCTTGATTCTTTCTTTAGTTTTGCATCTTTGTTTGCAGTAACTCTGTTTGTAAAAGAATGATGACAGTTCCAAGTACTTCTCTAGCACTTATTACTAACTGCAGGACATTATTCAGAGTTATTTGCTTTATATTCAGTTCAGAAACTGGACAAATAGCAAGTTCTCAGAGGAAATCACAATTAAAATAATCATCTTTACCAGTATTTTGCTCTAAGAATCAAGTTTTGGAAAGTAAGAAGTAATTCCGTAAAGCACAAAAGTTATATGGTATTTTTAATACATGTGGTTTTCAGAATAAGTAAACAGTAATGACTGCCAAGGTAAAATGGACCAGGCTGCAGAATAATTAATACATCAAGCTCAAGCTGAAATCACAAAGTTTAATTTTAGAGAGTGTTGAAGAATTATGCTCCCTCCTCGGGTACCTGGTTAAGGCACAGTCCCTGCTTTAACCTGGGTCTCCTGCTTGCAAGCGTCAAGCAATTGGAGAACCTGGCTAGTCTTCTCACTCTTTCTTTCCCTTCCTCTCATTCCAGAGCAGATTGAATTCATTGAAAATCCCCCATTCCTTCCTGTTTCTAATCTTGTTTGTAACAAGACTACATAATTTACTGTCTTAATAACACATCAAGGTACAAAACCAGCAATAAAGCCAACTCAAACCCACCCTTTTCTCAATCACTAGCATCTTTTCTATCATCTGAGTTTATCTTGACAGCTTTCCTTTTAAGAACTGTCCATAAAAACCACTGTTGTGGGAGAACTCAAGTTTATATGGCTTCAACAGCATCAAAGATACCCTACAAATGACAACACTGATGCCTTAGACTATCATTCTTATTTCCATTTGTCATACTGGTCTCAGCTGGAGGTAAGCTGATGACTTTTGTATTAATCAGGTATATGACATGGGCATCATTCTTGATAATTATGACACATTTGTATTCTGTAGAGGTGTGGTTTGGGCCAAAAAAGATAGTTGAAAAACACAATGGAAGCTCCACTGCATTCATATCAAAGGCGAAGCATCAATTACTTTGTATTGCCAACCAAAGCAGTATCCTGGTTAACAATTTAACTTCTGACAGTGAAAAAGTATTTGTAAATAGGAAACAAAGCAAAAATGAAACCATATTTTAAGATATTTATTTATTTTACTTTCACACTAAACACAAGTAAATACTAGTTGACCAAAGTCAGGATACAATATATTTCCTCAGATTACTGGCTGAGACAGTAAAAGAGTCCTTTCACACCCACTTTACACTGGAATATAACTGTGGTTATATCTGCCATATACTGATAATTTAACATCATGTCATATTCCCTGCCTGTACAGTTGTATTTGGAAGGTAAAGCAGCATTGCGCTGTGAATCTGACCCTACATCATAGTTTCTGAATAACATCTTACTGCTTGTAACACTGTCACACTGGAGAATGCATGCAGACTTTGGCACTAATGACAGAGAGAAATCCTGGGTCAAGCAGACAAGAGGAGAAATAACATTCCAGACAAAGCAATAACACATCTTGTTTTATCTTTTTGGATCTTGTATTATTATTTCCAATGTTGTATCCAATTATTCAGATTTTTTATTTAGACAGAATGATTTTAAATTCATTTTATAGCAGTCAGTAGTGCCATTCGATATGCTGTAGAATAGTTTTCCTGAGTCCAGATATGTCATTTCTACCAGCACCAGAAGAGTGTATCATGTGTTGCACTAAATAGCACCAGACGACTCTAACACAACTCACAAGAATCCTGATCAAACAGTGCAAACATCTATGAACATCATCTTATGTCGTCTTCACAGTCAGAAAGTAGCAGCTGTACAATTCTAATCTTAAACTATGCTGCTACCTTTGGTTTGGATGAATCATGCGTATTTCTGTCCATTTATTATAAAGACTGCTACTGTGGCCAACTCAGAGATGTTTAGTTAGGTGAAATGAATGTTATCATGCATGTTCCTTTCTTTTAGAAGAACTTCTAGATCAGGGGAGCAGTTTGGTTTACACCAAGGTCTACATCCAACACGTTTCTGTCATTAGGTTTTGAAACGTGTCCTTTACTCCAAGTTCCTCAGTTGCTGACAGCCAATTTTTTAAGTAAGGTGGATGGGCTGACGCACTTCTTTTCACAAGCAGCCCACAATAGGCAAGTATTTCATAATACAGACATTCATACACAATCCGAAGAACTTTGTTCACTACCTGAGAAGAAAACAAGAACCCTTCAATGCCAGAGAACCATTTCTGTGTCACTACAACAACTGAAGCTAAAATAATGCTCTCGAATCTTTAGCTTGCCTATAGATGTGTGTGCATGCACGTGTGTATACCAGTCATAAGCATTACCACTGTGAGATCATCAATAACATGCTGCTGTTCTTTGACTTGCAGTCTTAGGAATTCAATTTCTTGTTCCTCCCGTGTGCTGCTGAGATCATTCAAAGATGTGTGCCTCTTCAGGGCTGGTTGTGCAGATAACTTCTCTTTCTACAAAAATTAAAATAAAATTGGGGAAAAAAAAAAATCAATGTTTTAAAGTGTCTTGCCAAAACAGGACAAAAAAACCTCATGCGTGATGTAGTAATCAAAAATTCTTTGGACTCATTGGTATATACCCCACTGCAACATAAAGCCTCTTTCAACCACCACAACAAAAATATTACACATTCTGTATGCCTCAGTGTTAATGTCTCACATAAAAGTATTTTAAAACAGAATCAAATAACCAACTAGGACAAAATTAGCAGAGAAGTAAACTCAATGATCTAACATAGTAGAGCCTTTAGCACATTCAATCAAATTCAGTTCTGACTTCTAATCATAAAAGCAGCATTTATGAAAGCAGATTTTCAGTCATACACACTTATAGCCTCCAAACATATTTTATCTATCTGTAATCCCTTCCCACAACCAGCGTGAATGGATAGAACACAAAGCACATGCCACTGTGAATTTAGAGTGTGAATATTAAGTTTCATGGCCTGAATTTCAGACTCTCAAATATCTGTGTAAGCGTAACAGCCTCAGAAGCACTACCACCTCAAAAGTAACCGTGTTCAATGTGTTCTTCCAACATGTTCTTATAATCATGTCACAGATTATTCCTTACCAATTCCACATTTTCCCTTGAAAGATTTTTTATTTTCTCTTCCATTCTCTGGATACATTGCAACATATCATCATTTTTTTTGCTCATCCTCTTATTTTTTTCCACTAAAGGCTTCAGCTGACTTTCTGTCTCCCGAGAACGTTTCAGCTGCAAATGGCAAACGAACAAAGTTATCTGTGCTTCAGTTTATAGTTGTAGGAAAGAAGAAATACGTTTTCACTTGCCTTCTTCCTTGATTCAGAAAGTTTAGATCTTTTGTTATGTGATATCTGATACTGACTCCATCTGAACTAAGAACTACAGGATTCCAAACAAGTAAGAAATAGCATTTTTTTGCAGTCTACAAAAAACACTAGATGTGGTCACTGGATTTTGCTCTTGGAAAACACTTAAAAGAATCCATAACAGTAATTTCTTTACAAACTAATCTCATTGTATATAATCTTCTTATGAGCAACTAGGTCTCTAGGGTAGTCGTTTTCACTATCCCTTAGTTGGAGTAAACTCTTCCTACTCTACTTTAAAAATCCTACACCTAATGTGTAATTAGAGCAATAAGAAAGTCAGCCAGAGGGCACAGATTCAATCTCAGCATTCTGCTGACATTTTCAAGCTGCTCCATTTTGTTCCTGCGGTTTTATGATGCTAGACAATTATGTGAAGAAAATTACTGCCCTTTCTTGCATTTGTGTGTATTCAATATTTCCCCCTCTTTATTTCATTTAAAAAAAAAAAAATCTATTTTTTCCAATCAAAAGATTTTTCAATGTACTGAGTTTTAACTGGAAATGAGAAAAATATAATAATTCTCCTGAGATAATTTCACTGAGTATTTAGTTTTCCGTTTCATTCTTGGGAGAAAATAATTTTTGACAGTGCTTAATAACATGAGCTTACTGATATTACTGGGTTTAGGTTATATTGTCTCACAGTATGACAAAACCTTCTTCATATCCTTTCCAAAATATATTTCTTATGCCTCTAGGTCAAGCATCAAGAATAGCACTTGACTGAGTCATACATGCCCTCCATCTAGAGGGACGCAGAAGGATAGGTGTTGCAGTACTTCAGCATTCTTCAAGAATGTTTTGAATGACTTATGCCCACAGAAAGGATTAGGAGGCTGAATTACCTTGTCTTCATATAATGCACTCTTGAAAGAAAGCAAGATTTACTTGTGAGTATACAGCAGAGAAAAGAAACAATAGCAGTAAAAGTGTGGTGGGGAAAAAAGCCAAAAAATGAACACTCAGCACCTAGGCAAAGTAGGATACATGGCAAACTGTACCCAGACTAAAACACATATTATTGTTACCCCACGAAACTTAAATTGTTAATGAGGAATCAATTTGGTCGTATTAAAGGTCAATTTATACAGCTATTTGGGGGGGGGGGGGTGAAGAAAAATACATGGTTAGGTTTTCAATTCATCCAATTCTAATCTAGGATAGTTCAATTGACTGTGCTAATCTAGCTTCAGCCAAGATATTGAACAAGAAAATGTCAAAAATCAGATCTCCCAATAATCACTGGGATGTCATAACTCAAGTCTTTTTATCATAGCCTTCATGTCTTCACATGAAGAGCTATGTCTGACAAAGTAGAGGTAGATGCCAGTGCTTCACTCATCTTTAGGATTGACGTGGCAAAAGTGCCCTCTTCTTCTGCCCTCGCCATACGTAATAACATTATTTTAGAATCAGATACGTAAGTTTCATGAAGGAAAACTTCCATATGATTAGAATGAAAAATCTTTTTTCTGTCACTAGAAATAGGGCATTATTAGACAGTATGTAAAAATTCTTACTGTTAAAGCTCACCTCCCATTGCAGTCAATGGGAGTTTTACCGTTAACCTCAGTACAAGCAATCAAGGACTAACAGGCTAACAAAATTAATTCTTAAAATTCTTGTCATATCCTTTCTTTCCTGTGTTACTATCACTCTCCTAGGATAATTTCACCTACTTAAGAGATTTCCCTTGAGAAACAGCAGATTTTTCATGTCCAGCACAAGAAAGCTTTTTTAACTCCTAGCTAGCATAAGCATGTTTCAAAACCAATGTCAAATTTCAAAAAGATTAATACAGTTATTTCAGTGTATAGATTATGCATACTTCACACAACATTGTTACACAGTGTCACAGAAAAGCTACTAGTCAATTTTATTACAATTACTCCAAAATAAATTTATAAAGTTTTATTTTTTGGGAACAAGCCATCCATGTCTTTTATGGTCACAAAGCCAATTTATTCTATAGAAAGTTTACTTATATTTAGATACAATTGATTGAGACCATCGAGGACTAAATTGTAAGTTATTTATAACACTGACTTCCCAACATTAAATCTTTTACCATAAAGATGCCCTCCCAGTCACCATCTGTGTTATTACTAATTAATTTACCAGTTCATTTCTTTCATCTGCTAAGAGAGTATTTCTGTCTTCCAGCTTCCTTATTACAGCATTCAGTTCAGCAATTTTTAACTGAAATCTCCTCACATCTCGTTCATCCAAATGCTGCTCCTTTATATCAAAAACATAGATATATAAAATTACCTTTTAAAAAATGTTTTACTAGCCATACATCTAATGTCATGGTTTAGCAAGAAGATTGTGTATATTTAAAATAGACTCTGCACATGAATATCTGGAAAACTTATTTTAATTAAATGAAACACTAAACAATAACATCATGTGGAAATATTACATGATGTGTTACACAAAAAGTGACTACTTGTGAAATGTATGTAACATTTCATGTATGACTGGTTACTTCTCACCAGATTTCTTACTATCAGCTAAACCAATTCTAGTGCACAGTACACACATTAAAATCACATGGCTCAGCTGGAGAAGTATAGTATCTATTTGCCATTGGTTAAAATAATTCCTAATGTTACAAAAGTAATAACTAGGAAAATAAAGGGATTCACAACTGAAGCGCACAATGTAAATTACAAAAGTTCTATACCACATATTTTTCAACATTCTTTGAAATTCAAGGGGTCCAAGGAGTTTCTGAATCATCAAAGAAACAGCACAGTGCAGTTCAGGGCCATTTACCATTAATTAGTCCTTCTAGTATTTTACAAGTAACCACAAAACCAACGTGAACACCCAGGCAACAGTGATGCTGTGTTGCATATTTGAAGAAAACACCATTTTCTTACCAGGCTTCCCATCAGTTCAGTGATGTCCCCGACTCCCGCAGGAAGCTCTCTCTTAGGACTACTGTGGTAGCGTTCTGCCTCCTTCACTTGGACAAGCTGTTCATCCAAAGCTTCTTTCTGAAGGAGCAGTTTCTGTGTATGGCCTGCCTGGACACCAAGGTCTTTCTCCAGAGCAAGAATCACCCTGTCTTTGCCTTTTATCTCATCCATCTGGAAAGAGAGCAAGAAGGAAGTTTTGGTAACATCTCTAAGTGTTCACTCCATGCATATCCACAAACTTGCAAGAACAACGTCCTCTTTCTCTAAGAATTACACCAGCACCCAAATTGTGGTCACTAGAAAGAAGATATATCTCCCCTGAAGCCTTTTCCCCACCCCTTAAAAAGTTTCAGCCTTCACTTGATCAGTTCCAGAGACAAACCAAAACACATGCAAACATACACTGAAAAAGAATATACTGAAACAAAACATACAATCACTGAAATCATCCACTTCATCTGAGGACACATGATTCTATGAGCAGAAGCAAAATTTCCCTTCACTATGTTTCAGTGAAGAAACACAGGGCTAGTATAAGATAAGACAAACAATCTCTTCAAGACTCACTTGGGTTTTGTTTTAAAACTTGAGCCATATATATTTGTCCCATGTTGTTTCCCTCTTTATTAGTGAAAACCATGTGGTGAATATCTTCACAGGTATTTAAAAATCAGTAGCATATACACACACATTTAAACTTAAAATTTTAAGCATACCTATGTATTTTGTGTGCTCTTGTTACAAGATTTAAACGAGGAGCATGCTTTGTGTAGAGGGGAAAAAAGCAAATGCACACAGAGCATTAGAATAAAGGGTAGGAAACATAGTTCTTAGGCACCATCTATGGTTACACGTTCATATATCTCCATACCAAATAAAGCATACTGCTAGCAGTGATCTGCAGCTCTTATAGGATTTGTCCCTCACAGCATCAGTGTTAAATTCACTTTGGTACTATTCCAAATGCTAGAGGAAGTGACAATCTGCAGCAGTTACTATAGAAACAGATTTCTTAACAAGAATGTTAAACATTAGCAATATAATTATTAGAACTGTGCTGTATCTCCTTCAGTTTACTCAACTGTTTTATTGGACTAAATAAACCCACAGAATTTTGGAAATAAGACTACTATAGTCTTGTTTGAAAAAATAAAATCATTAATTTGTGAAATCATACATCTGTTGTTTGTTACAGTCCTACATCCTTAGAAGCCCTTTCTGTGAAGATGCACAAGCAAAAAAAGAAAAAAATGTTAGAAGTAACTTATAGTGGAGTCTGAGTGATGTATAGGATTGACACAATCAAATTACATGACCAGATACAGTTTGCTTCTTCAGAATTACTGCCCTAGTCTTTTCACAGTCCTCAAAGCACATGAATTTTGCTTACAAATTCTGAGTGGCAAGAGATGGCCGGGCTGAATCAAGTCAAGTCATAATTGGAGACAAAAATGCCAGTTTGGAAGTGAATAAAATGGTCTAGACTGCTTTTAAGTCTCAACTGGAACTGATGAAGCTTGATTCTGATGGAGATTTCTTTCGCGATTTGGGGAGTTCTCTGGGCATCAATTCCTTATCCAGATCATAGGTATAATACTTCTCAGCACGTCCATTCATATTTGTGAGACTTCAGTATGACAAAAAGGATTTACAGGAAAAGAATGCGGTTTTATTAATGGAGGAATTTGCAACATGCAGAGTTTCACAGGGACTGTGCAGTGAGCATCACTGAATGCTATCTGTCATGCACAGTGATCTATCAGGGACCCCCGGGAGGAAAAAATGTCATGTAACTAAATATTCTGGACAGTTTCACTTTCAATTACACAGGTGTTCATGCTGAACATCTATGTGCTTGAGATAGAAATCTGGCCATGCAAGGCATGCATTTAGCAAGGAAGAACCAAGGCAAGAGACAGCCTTGATTTTAGTTACCCAATTAATAGCATATTTCATAATCTCCATATTCTCCCAACTTAAACATTTATGCCATTTCATTTGCCATTTAAGTACTGAACTGCTGCAGAACAGATCCTTGGAAACAGATATGATCAGGGAAAATATGCCCATGTCACCTTTCACACACACTTCCATAAATCAAAGCACACAAGCTCACACATGTTAGAAAGAAATGCCACAAAAGAGCATGGCTTTGGGGTGGGGGGTAGGGGAAGGCAGGAAAGAAGAAGGATTAGCCTCTGCTCCTCCTCCTACTGCTTTTTCTACCATCAAATCTACATGTTGTGAAATTTTCAGAAAAAAAAAAAAAAGAAACACCATGTTTCAGTCAAATAGAAAAATTTTTGGCATACTGATAATAATTGAAAATAGCAGTATGATAGCAATGACTGCACATCCCTTTTTATTTCGGACTTATATTTTAAGCTACAGGTAGGCACAAGTAAATCTTACATAAACATATGCACATGCGCACACACAAATACACAGAGCATTGCAATAGCACTTTTTTTATAAGCACAAACTAGCAGAAAGGATGATTTCTAAGCAATTTTGCTCAAATTTATTACAAATGGATAAAGATGAATAGAGCTGCAGCAACACCTCTACGTTAAGTTCTGTTTCAGAAGCCTGAGGCACAATTCAATTCTCCTTTCCTTAAGGGCACAGTCATACTTTTGATTTATCCAATGTAACTGCCTCAGTTTTCTTAAATTTACCCCTATGCCTGACCAAAAGATTTACCATCTTCCTTCAGACTTGCACACTACAGAGCAACTGGTTCATCTTCCCTGTCTGTCTTCTTAACAGAAATTGAAATTTCCCTCTACTCCAGAGAGGGAGAAACAAAGGAAGAAAATACTTTTCAGGAATGTGACATCCCTCACTTCCACATGGGAGAGATGGCAGGCAAAGAAAGAGGGGGTACATGAGCAGGAAAAGAAGAGGTATGGTTTAGGTTTAAATGGAACATGACAGAGAAGAAAGGTCATTCACTCTCAAAAGACTTTACATTAGCTTAGTCTTAGATATTCTAATAGTTGTAACAGCTCACACAAAGTCTCCATGCCAGTTTTGTACTACTGGAGAACTATTCTTGAATTCTTGACACATTTGGTTACACAAAGAAAAAAAAAAAACAACAGCATTAAGGAAATCGCCCTTATGTAATTAGACCATGTATTATGGTCTTTATTTTAGTGGGGAGAGGAGTAGCTTCCATTAGGTAAATGAAAATCAAAATGGATTAACCTGGGTTCCCTGCTGCTTGCTATTATGACCAAATACATGTTGTGGAATCAACAGTCATAGCCAAGATTGTCTAGGAAACCACATGGTCTAAAGGAGAAGGATTACTTTTTTATTAGACCAAGCGACACAGTTGGAAAGCTTTCAGGTACAGAAGCCCTTCAGCACATTAAGGGGCTGTATGCTTAAAAGCTTGTCAACTTTTCCACTTCCATAATTTTGCTTGTCCCATAAATGTTTTGGTGTCTCTCTATATATGATATCTATCCATGCATATGTATGTACATACACAAACACAGTGTACATATACATGTATATATTCACGTACATACACACACATTTTGAGATATTTTCCAGCTGTCATTTATGACTACTGTAGACAAGCTGAACATCGTCTTTTATGATCGTAAGTGAAATAAAAATTAGTGGTCCCCTGATGACCTCTCAAGTTTGAAGGTTTTACCCTGTGTTCTATTACTAAAGTGTTCATTCACCAAACAGCACCCAGAATTTGTGTTACCATGCACTGCATTCTGTTCTTCATCATGCTTTTTAATGTCTGTTTTACATTACCAGGGAGCCATCCCCAACTACTTATTACTTACATACATAAACTACTTGTCATCTTTAATTCTGTTCTCTCCAAGGTGCAATTTGATTACATCTAAAGACTCTTTCTACCTATCAGCTCTAAAATACATACACACAGAAAGACTTTTACCCAAGTTCTTACATCATGCCTTAGTCACTCAGCAAAATTCCGCTTTCTGACCTTAAATGCAGTCCTGCCAGGCCACTATCCAATGTGAATGCTGCTGTTAATGTTGCTTTTTTCACAAAATTCCCATCTCCGGATTCTCTAAGCTGTTTTTCCTTTTATTACATTAAACAACAACAATAGAAATTACTCTCACTGTCAAAGATGTTCACAGCCAAACTGGAGTCCACTCATCCCTTATCTAATATTAGGGCACCGTCCCCTCCCCAGTAGCAGCTTGGCATATATGCAGTTTCATGTTTTCTCTCATGCCACTGTTCCTGCTTGAAGGGATACTCCACAAATATCCATTTAGTTACCTGACTGACCTTCCTCAAATTCCTCTTATCTCCTTTTTCATGACACCTCTAAAACACAAGAGCAAACAATGAAAAACTGTAAACACTTCACAAAAATGATACTGTTAAGATCACAATCTATTTTTAGTCATCAAACAGGATACCTAATCTAACAAATCCCTGAGAACCTAAGACATTGGAAGCATGTTATAAAAATGCAGGAATTCTACTGGAAGCGATGCAGGTATGTCAAAGCCAGTACTGAGCTCAGCTAATAAACATGAATGGATCAGTTCTCACTTGATGATTCATGACCAGGCTGAGCAAGCAGATGCCTTTCCATTCTGCTCCTCAACCCCTTGTGTCCCAGGAAGCATGGTGCAGGACCTGCCATGCCAGGTGCCTGCAAGAGGTTTCTGCATCGGTGGAAAAACATAGCTCAGACAAGCCAACACATGGCAGCTGAAACCTGACTGCACTAATCTGCTACCACTGCTTTTGTGTGCTCCTCCCTGTACTACTGTTCATTTGAGACCTCTCACTAAGACAAAAAAGGACAGAGGCCACCTTTTCTTCCAACTTATTTAGCACAATGAAATCCCAATACATGCATTTGGCTCACATGTATTATGTTAAATCAGATACAGGTAAAAGAAATTTCAGAAATTCCCTTCAACTGGCTGCTATGGTTTCAAATTTGTTCTCAGTTTAAGAAAAAAATCTGCTCACTTTTTGCAGCTACATGATACAACAGGGTCACGTGAAATCTTCTACATTCTGTTTTGTGTGATTTGAAAGCATTTTAGATAGCCACATTTTTCTTTATGCAATTAAGCATGATACAATTCAGTACAATAAGTTTGTGATGGGAAGACAGTGGAGCAACATGAGATTAGAACACATTTTCA